GAGTGAGTACAATGTTATCATAACCAAGAGAAATGATGAGGATAAATATAAGAGTTGTGGTTCTAGCTATTTCACAGTGACGCAAATTGTTCTTGACAAAGAAAATGAATGCTCAGCAGAACTGCACTTTTTTCTCCTTTAAAACGACGTAGAACGTCCTGGCCAAATGTTTGGAGACATTACAACTTCCATCTCCACATTTGCCAGTCATCAGCAAGCTGCATCATTTATTTGTATGAAAGAAAGCTCTGTCTGCCGCTATTGAACCATCAATGTGGTGAAATACTGCTCCATTGCCAGCAAAGGGGCTGGATAAAACAATAGAGAACGCATGGAATTGAGTAAGACTGTAGCCTTGTTCCCATCTCACACTACATAACAATGATAAGGAGGTAGTGCATTCACAATTGATTGACTGATTGATTGATTTATATATTTATTTCAAACATGTTAAAAAGAAAAAACAAACAATGCCTTGTTTAAAATAAGCATACATTCAAAATAACACTAAAAAAACAACAAAAAACATTTAGCAACCATACATACAAATTATGATTGCCAATAAAAGAAAACTTCTATTTACATGTTTGAAAGTGCTTGATCAGATTGTTATTACAGTTGTCTGACAACATATTGGAAAGGACCCTACAGAGATATATGTTTTTTTGAAGAGGAAGATCCTTTTTGTTTAACCAGAAGCAATCATCAATGCCACCAGACTCCCTTGACAACAAACATGTTATCTTTTTGGTTTACCGCTGCCATGATTGGTTAGTTTGTGTTATTGTGTGAATTTTGTGTTACCCTTTAAAATGCAAAGATCCCACAATAACACAAAGAAACAAAAACACAGTCACATAAGACTAGCAACTCCCGCGTTCTGCATTCTGTTTTTATCAAAGCAGTCTGGTGGCTTTGATGAGAGTGATATAGTGACTGTGTCTCTTAAACAAAAAGGATCTCAGGATTTTAGAGCACACCGGTGATGGGAATTTATATGCAGGCAAAAATGTCAGCCACTTGCTTCCTTGTTGTTTCAACATGTAACTACTGACAACAACACAGTCACAGCTTGCTATTCTTCAGGGCACTTGACCTCATGTGTACTGTATGTGTGTCACTTCTCTTTAGTCACAATGAAACAGTTATGAGCACTTTCCCACGGGGATAGATTAATGACGTAATTTTCTCGTTCCATTTTCTCAGCATTAAAATGGCCGCATTACGTGACAACTGTCAAACACACAGAAAATGGAAAACATTTGCCCTTTGTCCTGTAATGCCACGTGCTTAATGTTTGCTACATTTCTGTCCTGCAGTCAGTGTGAGAGAAACCCCTGCCCCATGGACAGCCGCTCCTGCCACCTGGCTCCAAAGACCGTGTCCTTCCACTACCTGTCTCTGCCCTCCAACCTGCAGACTCCTGCCACGCTTTTCCGTATGGCAACGGCCACCGCCCCAGGGCGCACGGGGCCAGACAGCCTGCGCTTCGGGATAGTGGGCGGAAACCCCCGAGGCATCTTTGTCATGCAACGTTCAGACAGACAGACTGGTGAGCTGATCCTGGTCCAGCCGCTGCGCGGACCGCAGGAGATCAGCATTGATGTGGACATGTCTGAGTATAGCGACCGCACATTTCAGGCCAAGCATGTGGCCAGCGTCCACATTATCATTTCACCTTACAACTTCTGAGAGCAAGCTTGCAAAGGAGGAAGGCTAGAGACGGAGAGGTGAAGGAGGACCAAGGAAGAGTGTGTAATGGGCACTGAGTTTACTGATACTGGTTTTTTTTCAGCCCCTATCAGAAAGTCAGTTGTCTGAGTAGCCAAACACAGAGCAGCATTTGTTCAGTGGCCAAATTACCAAAAGAGTGAGAGTGACAAGCCAATATTTAACAGTTACATTATGAATAACAATATATGGCAAAACACATCATAGATGCTTCTTTAAGTAATTCTTTAAGTTTAAGTCAGTTTGAGCTTTGACTGGTGATGTTTGAATGAGTGTGTTTGAATGCATGAAAACTAGCTAAGCAAAGTCATAATGGTTGGTTGGGAGAGATTGGTAACTGTTTTTTGTCGTTGCTGTTGCTTGATGTCTGTATTTTATGTCCATTATAGATGATGTCTGTGTAGCTCAGGGTCAGGCCCCGGGGCTGTTGCACTGCCTCGCTTTATTGATGATCCCTATAAGACATTACGACATTAGTGCTCCCATGGCTCTAATTTATTGGAAATATTGTTGCTGGTTTTTACATTGTAACATATTGTACGCCACATGTTTATCTTCCATCATATACTGTATATTTGTTTTGTTTTTCTACCAGCTTGCCTTGTTTAAGGTACAATTCATTATACTTTTTAGAAGATGCAGTACTGTACCTGTGCATATCAGCTCTATTACTCATATTCTGTATGTAACGCAGATCTAGTCTCATTATATTCTAAATCAAAGATGATTTAGCAAGCTTGCCAATTCACTTCACAATTTATATGGAATTTTAATTGTCTCCACATAACTGAAATAAAGTCAGTCCAACATTTCAGTATTTCTTAGAACTACCTCACTTGATGCTGAACAGAGTGCTATTAAATGCCGTTGTGGCAGTGCTTGTTTTCTTTCTGCATCCATTATGAGTGAATTATAATGAGCGAAACTCAATCCAAAGCATAGCTGATAAATGAACGCTGGATGGCTATAAAACGTTCTGTGACTGAATGGATGAAAGGTTAGAGAGGAAGAATGTGTGTTTTATAATATAACCCTGGGGCAGCAGTTCACAGACAATACAAGTCAAAGCAGCATTTCCAACATGTCTGGGAAACAAAAGGAGTTTGACAGCATTTCTATTTGACTTTAACACACAGAACAATAACTTTCACATTTTAAAAAACATATCTCAGTGTGTCTATTTGTTAGAGAAAGGAGAGACTAAAGGTCACCGCATGTGTTCGATTACTTTCTTCACATCTCCATCCAGGGGTTTTCATTGCAATAAAAGGGGCCAGAAGAGCTGCATGCTTCCAGGAGGAAGAGTGGTTGGTGAGAATCAGAACACATGCCCCGACAGTACACACGGCTCTCAAAAAGACAACGTGCATTAATGGCAGGAGTAACTTCGTTCAGAAATCATACCAGGAGCTATCACATTGCAAGCCTTTGTTTTAGGCTTGTGTTCAGGCTGTTTGATCTTCACATAATTCGTCCATTCTGAGGCAAGAGGATATTGCCAGAGACAATTGGAGAGCATTGAGCTACATAATACAAGCCATTTGCTGGAGAGTAATGATGAAAAATTTACAGTAAGGGCCTACAGGCAAAGCCAGCACAGAGTGTGGTTTAAAGTGACGTATCGGTCACAAACTAGTGGGCTCCTTTAGTAAATGATGGGAACCGATTTGGAAAAAGAAACGCATGGCAATAAAACACTTTTGAACAGAGCTGAAGTATTTTTTGTTTCATATTATGATACCAGGCTGCATAAAATATAAAGTAGAGTTATTTTTGTCATTATAAGAGCATTATTCTTCACATATTCTTTAAATATCAATATGACAAAACATTTCAATGTATAGCAGGTGAAGACTCTTACATCTTTCTTTTTTGCAACAGTATGTGACTTAGGCAGTGACCAGCAGAAGTGGCACTAAATGAAGAGAGGTTTGGAGCCGAAAGCTGTAATTAAAAAAAATAAATAAAATGTCCTTTCTTTGGTTTTGGTAGTGACCACTGTTCCAATTTACCAATGCAACTTTAAGTAGCCTAATAAATAACTGCTGACTACTGAAATGAGCACAAATACAACACAACTGTGGCAAGTGAGAAAGTCTAAGAAACCATGACATTAGGCTAAATACAGGAAAACTGCATTATCGAAGAGGGGACAGTGGTTACAAGTGGCTAAAGAACACCAAAAATGCGTCCCAAGAAAGAAAATCACATTGACACATCTGACGGTCTCAACAAAAACAATAGTAACTCAGTATGTAACGACAGGTTAGATTGGAAACGGACTAAAAAGCTCCTGGTCACATGTGCCTTTTTAATAAAAGGAGGAAACAATCTTCAAATGACATACAGTATCCTCCTAAAAACAACTCTTCACTTCACCTATTCAGGCAAAAAAAAACTTTTGTAGGGAAAAAGCAGAAATGCTTTCAACCTGTGGCTTTCCATTCAAACAGAAAAGTGGTATGGTGTGTTGCTAGTAGGTTATTCCGGCAATGAAAGGCATTGTAGAGGAATTCTGCCCTACTTTTATCATCCAGGAGGGAGGAGAGGTTGTCTGTGGATCATCTTTCATGTGGGATAAATGTTTGGAAGAAATCCAGGAACATGTGAGTGTATAGGAAAGCAAAATAAAGGTTTGCTTTTGTCTCTGACTTTTAAGTGGCCTATAATTTGCCATAATAATGACACTTGGTTGATACCAATGCATCCAATACTGTTCGATGCAGTCTTATCAGCTTAAACAGAAAACCTATTTGATGGGTTGACAAGAAAACAGTTGTAAAATTGCAGAAAATTATTATTATTGCGTAGTTGCAGTTGAGGTATATAGGCTCTTATTTTTCGATCTCTAAAGCCAAATACTGTAGCAGATGTTTACAGCAGGATTGAAACATTCTTCTTAAATTGAGAAGGGTATAAACTCTTAATGGCATTAATTTCAAACTAGTTCGGTCTCCATAAAACAACTTGTAATGTCGAATATGACAAACATGTTTGTGGATTTTATGTTGCTTCAGCCCTCTTAATCACAAGCCTATTAAGGGCTAATGGCCTCAGAGAAAACTCAGGGTTTATATTTTCAGTGACTGGGCTTCATTCAGACTCTCTTCTCACAATTTCAGTCCCTGCATTTCATTATCATTCATCATAACTTTCCACACAAAAGCCCATTCATTCAACAGTTTCTTCTCCTATTTCCTATTGCATCTGGTATTCGCAAGACAGCTTTAAAAAATAAGCTGATAAGCTGAACTGAGCAAAATCACAACCATAGTTAAATATTTATTTTTATTGCCAAATCAGCACTTAAATCATAGATCAGGAAACAACCATTCTCCTGTATTCGATTAATATTTAATCTGAGCATACACACTTCCTGAGAAGGAAGAGAGAAGAAAATTGCTGGTATAAAAAGTTCAAGCTCAGTTCTTCATGACACCAGTGACAAAAAAGTCATATTATCCAGACACCTCTCCACCTGTGGAATTATGAAATAACAGGAATCAGCCAAAACCCATCTGTACAAATAATCGAGGTCCACTGCAGGTGTATGCAGTTTTCTATAACAGAAGGACAGCTTGCCATCATAAACACAATTATTCTAGGTTTCCAACACCGACAAAGTGACATTATGAACCCAAGTGATCGACTGGTGCTGAAGACGACAATGTTCCAACACCAAAACTACACTGAAAAAAACACCAGGCCCGCCATTTTCAAAAATAATAATTAATAAATATATTAAGACTTATTTGAAAGAATGTTAGTATTATTATGGTATATGTGAAACCAACAGACCGATTTTATAAGCACATAAAGCAAACAAATAGAAGAAAGCTGCAGTTTGCCATTTGCCTAATGGATTGTGAGATTGTTCAGGGCCCAAAGCATTAAGAAAAATGGAAGCACACATTGTAGACACACTTAAGAGTAAACACAGGTGGACACACACACTTTAACAACTTGTAAGTACACTTGAAACGCAAATAAATAATGAATTAACTCCATTTTAACATTTACATACAGCATATTGCTGAAGACACAAAACCTGCCTGCCGACACACACAGTAGATTCAACACATGACTGTAAACCCCAATTCTACCTTACTGAACCCAGTTACATTTAAATTCAAATTGTACATATCACCCATTTGTGCTTTCACACACACACACACACACACACACACACGGAAGTTTGAACGACACTTTCATACATATTGTTCTCAATTGTCTGAACAGATTGAGCCTCATACAAGAACTACATGTAGGCACAGCTTTGATTTGCAAAGTGCATAAGAGCAACAAGTACTATTGAAAATCAGCAATTGAATTTTCAAAGCTGTCTAGTCTCAGATTTTAACGCTGGCAACAAAAAAAGTGTACTTTTGACACTCATAGTGACATGAAAGATACATACCTTTGATATAATTCCTTAACTTTTGCAAACTTCACAATTATATATTTATATAAAGAAAGATCCTGTTTGAAACAAACCAATAAAGACAATGAAGTTAAATTCTCTCTCTTCTGACTGCAAAAATAGCTTAGATAAATTATTCTAGGTCTTCATTACTGAGATCCTCCCCCCCATCATAAGCCTCTTATTTTATTACAACCAACCAATAATATCTAGATACCCTCACAAAAGACACTTAACATATATTATGAGAGTATGTTCATGCATGAGGCCCACTGTTCTTAACTCTGACAAAATAAGTTCACATGAACATAACAGAAATAAATACAGCACTTAATTTAAAATAAAACATTCTCTTTGGAAAGAAAGGCTCAAACAGATCATATCAGGAAAAGAGTCAACCACTTCAGTGAAAAGACAGTTTTCCTCTGGTAGAGTCCTTAGCTGTTGAGGAGATGAGGACACGAAGAAACGAGCAGAGGTCCCCCTAAACTGTGCCCCTCTCCACCCTGCAAAGTAGCAGCTGTACGGGAAGCTCCCCTGAAAAAAAAAAACCTAAATGGCACTCCACCCACCATCCGACTGGAAATCCTGAAGACCCTGCTGAAGAGTAAGGGACAGCAGCTATGTTCTCCCTCCATATCCGCCGATGGCTGGAAATGTTTTGCCTCACTCCAGCTTTGACATCTCATATCTGGTTGTCATGATTTCCTGTGAAATAATAGGCAAATTTAAATTACATTTTTTTGTCCAGGCTACCAGGTTTTAACCTTTACTTTCAGACAGAAATTCTCAGAAAGCCAATGTTACTTCCTGTTATTATTCAGACTGTAGAGGATGCACAGTAGGGTCTGCTACGCCCTGTCCCCATAAGCCACGCCAGTCATTCTTTCCATTCTCGCACAGCAGTTCACAACAGATGTAGAAAAAAGCAGAATTTTGGCAGCTCATTTTATCAGCTACAGCTATCTGGCTAATTATCTTTACTTATGACCATCCCCAGCTGTGAGAGAAAATAGCATGGTACTAGAGGTCTATGATACATCACCGCTGCACAGGCTGTGGAAAAAGCATGTTGTCACCACTAGTTGGCAGGGCAAGCCAAATATTTATCCTGGGTGCAGTTACTCGTTAAATGTAAAGTATTGCTCATTGCACACCGGCTCATGCAAAGCGGTGTGCATTTGGATGCAAAGAAATCTATAGCATGACAGGCCTGCTGTGCCTACTTACAATTGCTAAGCTATGATTTGATCCCTGTTTGGGGTAGGGGTTGGGTAAACAGTCAGTATGTGCTTGATGAAACAAACGTGGCTAAAATCCCCATTAAGTCCCCATATCCACACTAATACAGCAAATCCAAAAGTAACCCCTAACATTATCAAGCAATGCTTTCTTTCTCACTGTTATTGTACAAAGTTACTCATCTCCACATATCTAGAATAACTGTCTCTCTTACAAGAAATAACCTGTTTTGTAAATTTTGAAGTAATGTAATTCATACCTCATCTGAGTCGAGCAGGACTGGTAGAGCTCTGCAGTGACAGACAGGATGAAAGACAGACTCCGTTAGAATAACACACGCCTTATATGAAAACACCTTGCTGGTTTAATAAGTATAAATTTGATAGGATGCTTACACATCAGCAAGAGAGCTAGGAATGTTATCCTCCACCCACTTCAAGTCTTCATCCTGTACAAAGAAAAGAGGAAGGAAAAAAGTAAATACTGCCATCTGCTGAAATGTGTAACACTTGTATGGCTGCATTTCCTAAACCTGGACAGCTGCTCTTATTATGGATGCTTAATATTTAATAAACCACACCGGATTAATCTACTTAATACTGAACTATTCCAAACCAAGTATGCAGTTGTGTTACTGACCGGGTTCGTTTCTGCAGGCTTTGCTGTGCCATTTGTCTCACTTTTAGATGCTCTCAACTTTACGCCATCAGCTGTGAAAAAAAATGAAGACAAAACATAGTAAAGAAAGACAAAAAGACTATTAGACTCCAACCGTTTGCAGCATTCTGGGTGAAAATAACACTTGCATGTTACCGTACCAAAGTTTGTAGAGGCGACAAACTCCTCAATCTCCTCATCGTCAGAGTCGTCAATGAGAGGTGTGAAAGCATACCTGTGGACGTTGAAATTATGCGATTTATAATGAACCAGCAAAGAAAAGGACAGTGTCCAATTCAGCTCATGTTGGTAAATTCAGTAGCCCTAATGTACTACTTGCCTTTGGTTGTTTGCAGATGGCCTCCATAAAAACATTATGACGAACAGAATGACGGAAAACAAGAACCTCCAGAAAGCATCTTCTACCCACAGCTCAATCCAGTCCTTCACACAAAAACAGGTCCAATTATCAATAAAATGTAAATGTAAAATGTAACGCTACTACTGACGAATTATGCCAAAGCATACTTACAGACTGGCAATCTGCTAGCCGAAATTTCTTTGCTGTCCAACCCATGAAAATGATGGAAGCTGTAAAAGAAAAGGGAAAGGTCTGAGATGGTGCTCTTGGTCCGTTTCCTGGGGATACTCCATACAAATAACCACAAATCATGAGCGTGGGCACAGAGCGCGGCATATTCTATTATTTTTGCAAGTGTAGTTGTACCACTTACCAATGACAGCAAATATTAGTGTGTTTGTAAAGTGCCTGTAGAGAGACAACTTGACAGGGTTTCTCCTCAGCTTCAGAGTCTTGATGGTTTGTGCCAGGCTGACAAAGATGTTAGTGGCAGTCAAGGTAAACATGTGGCACACATAGCATAGAGACCACATTACAAATGAATAATGGGGTCTTATAACCTCTACATGTAAGTGTATACTGTAGATAATAATCCATGTTTTGCCTTATTTTTTCTTATTTTATACAATCCAACTTATTAGGTACACCCACCCCTTTATACAAACAACTCTTTTCCTCCTATCAAATTTACATTAAATAGATTGTAATAGAGCACTTTATCCATACTGCCCATCTTATGGACACCCATCACCCATATATATATATCATATTTAAACTGGACCACCTGTAAAGGATGGTGGGTTGGCATGCAAATCAACCACTTTTACCAATTCACATAAGACATAGCAAAATGTAATTGATTGTGCAAGAAAAGAAGCAGTGAGGATGGAGGATTTTAAGAGAGTTTTTATAAATTTCAGTAAAGGATGAATGATTAATGCGTGTCTGTTTCTTCTTCTGTGAAAGGAATAAGGTAGTTGCAGATGAACCTCCACCCTGGTCTAAATTGGACTCGTGTGAATGGAGGAGGTGAGGAGCAGAGGGGGACCACACAGGGAAAGGTTGTAGGTGCACAAAAGGATATCCACCAGCATAGAGAGGAGTCAAGCAGAGCCAAGGGAATGTTGGCCAGCAGGGCTAAGTCAGAGTCTTTCGCCTTGAAGGGAGGATGGAGCAGGACCAAAGGACACAAGGAAGAGGAGAAAGAGGTGGAAAAATCATAGATTGGATAGGAGATAAAAAGGCAGCACGGCCAGTAAAATATAGAATCATTCACCAAAGTGCAAAGAGGATAATACCAAATCATCCAACCCAAAAGGTAAGAACACTCCAAATTACACGGGCTCAATGAATTAACAAATATGCCCACTTTGTTGTTACATGAGCGTGAAATTATTGGTGCTGTTGAGTACACTGGAAGGATATGAACCAGATGGCGCAGGAGTCAAACACAGCCAGAACAATTTCTGTAATGAGAACGGGGCCATTGTCTCGACCCTTGATTTTTGGCCCCGAACGAATCAAGACAATACACAAATTGTGATGCGAGTTTTACTTCAAAACACAATTCGACAACAAAGAGCTTTAACACTGCTAATACTCTTGCTTATTTTTTCACATCAGGTTATAAACAATCAACAATGACTCAATGATCGTCAGACTTAAGTTTAGTTTTGATCATTGTATATTCATTTATTTTGGTATTTGTTTTGCTTTTGTTGTCAATATATCTTTGGGTTTGTATGAATCTTTTATAAAAATAAGCAATTTGAAATTTAACTTCTGACGTGCATTTGTTAATGTTGACTGATCGAAAATAGGAAAAATAAATAATCAGAGAGCACAACTCACCCCAGTAATCCTCAGGACACCTTCAATGCTAGCACAGGCAAAATAGAGGATTCCGAGCCCCACAACTCTGTGCATTACTATCCCCAGTCGAGGCCTAAAACAAAAGAAACATGTAAACACAAAGAACATGTAAAAGTTGGATTGCCTAATTTTGTTTGTACATTAATTTAGGGTTTTTGAAATAAGAAACAAGTAGCCGTGTGTGCAGATATATGTTGACGTACTTTACAATGCCATAACCAAGGCTGACGATGATGACGAGCAACCGAGCCAAAGTCCTCTTGAGGGCAGAGACCAGCTCGGCAAAGATCAACAAGCCTGGAGCTAAAGGCAACCGTAACAGTACAATCAAAACAAACAAACCCATCTTACTATCTCACATGAAAAAGGTGATGATTTTTGTGATGATCTGCGGACACTCACAAGCAGAGCCGACAGCGTTGGTGTTTTCATATTCGGCACAGAAGACGGCCTTCTCCACCATCCCGAGGAATATGACCCCTGCTATCCAGAACTGGATCCGCAGCAGATCCTTCCAGTAGCACGCTGCCCAGATAAACCACAGCAGGGCGTACAGGATGTACACTATGCACATCACCATGTAGAACTACAAACCAACAGTGAGGGATTAGTCTATAAACACATATGGGAGCAGTTGTGCTTAATTAGCTGCAAACCAAATTCCAGAAAAAACAGCACAGTTCATCCAAAAACATCTTGTTTTTTTCTCTTCAGAGGACTGACTACGTATTCAGCTTCAGCACGATTTGGATGTGTCAGCCGTAGGTCACTTCAATATAGTGAAGCTCAAAGGCATTTGCGTTTCAAATGTTACTTTTCAATTACATCTGAAACATCAGTAGTGACCACAGTTGTACATTTCACCCTTTTGTCATGTGATGTGATGTTGTAGTCAGTTCTGCACTTAATTATTCACCACATTTTTTATTTTTGTGGTGCAGTGGTTAGCACTGTCGCCTCACAACAAGAAGGTTGTGGGTTCAAACCCCGGTTGTCCCAGCCTTTCTGTGTGGAGTTTGCGTGTTCTCCCCGTGTCCGCGTGGGTTTTCTCCGGGTGCTCCGGCTTCCTCCCACCGTCCAAAGACATGCAGGCTAGGTTAATTGGTTGAAAATTGCCCTTAGGTGTGAATGTGAGTGGTTGTTTTTCTATGTGTGCCCCTGATGGACTGGCGACCTGTCCAAGATGTACCCCGCCTTTCGCCCGATGTTCGACCCTGTACGCAGGATAAGCGGTTGATGACGGATGGATGTCTTTATGTATGTAGTCAGATGTTGCCGTTGGCTTTATGAAATGTAATCCACAGCTGACCAGAGCTACAACTGTATGTTTAATTGTATTTTAGATGAATCTTTTGACTCTGTATTGTCCTATCATCTGCAAATCCAAAACAGTAGACTACAACTCTCCATTAGAGCCAGGAATAGGTACATAATATTAATGTACATTCATTTCACAAATGAGTAATTAATGTTTCTAACATAAATCAGAAAAGCTGATTCCTTGTCATCTACTTACAATCATGAGAGGCCATTCTGTGATAGAAATGTAGCCATGGCTGCCTTTCATCACCACATTAACTGGAAAAACAAAATCCAGACATCAGACAAGTGAAGCATGTTTCTCAAATCAAGAATAACAAGAATTTGTTTATGGTGCTGACAAGTTTTGAAATCTGACACTTCAGCGTCGGCTGCAAAACAGCATCGCTTTTATGAGCCCGCTTCTGATTACAGAAGCCTTTTCAAGACATCCACGCTTTCAACATCATTAAATTAATGCAGGGTGATAATGTTCCTCTTTCCCGGCCACACAGTATATTAGTTGATTGTGATGTAATTTCCTGTTTAAAAAATCCTTACCTGTTAAATTCCAGTTGGCATCCTGTTTACTAGACACGATCTTGACAACCAGCAGGTAAGGCCCATCCTTCCACGTGGTGGCTATGACGTTGTCCTTTGTGTTCACACTGTTGTTCGTCACCGTGCTGCTGCTGTCGTACTCCTCAGTGTCATTTTCCTCCTGCAGTATTATAAAAGTGATGCAGTGTTTATCACTTAAAAAAAATATTTTTAATACTGAGTATGTGGAAACTATTTAAAGAAACAGCACACTAACAAAACACATGATCAGTAAAGACACTGACTAGTGGCAAACCTTAATTTACACTAGTCTATTAAAACCAAAGAGCATTTAAGTTTCCTTACTGGTGCTTCACTCTCTGACTGACTGACTGGACGTGGAGATGCCTTGGCTTTCTGAAAAACAGTTACTGGATGTTGAGAGATAATAAATGCAATGATGTAACCAGTTTGACTATGCTGATGACAGCAATGTAACAAACCTACTTTGAGCATTGGAAAGGAGCGTAGTCCGCTGTTACATGTTATGGGACTGTGTTTGTGTTTGATGTACTCTCCTTTTCCGAGGGGATTCGGATCCAGGCTCTCCCCCCGACTCAGAGGTGTTCTATCATACATTTCCTACAGACAATGACGGTCACAATTCAGCCTTCATAAGCAATCAAGTCTAGACAGTCTGTCTGTTAATGTGTATGACATTAAGTTTTTTTTAAGCACTTACTTCAATATTGTTGAATTCATTGTGACAGGGGTAGTATTTTAAATACCACTGAATAGTGAAGTCAACCTCCTCAAGGCAGCTAAAAGCCACAACTACACAACAAAGACACAAGTGATGATAAACACAAAGGACAAAGAGTGGCACAATTTCTGTGATAGGTCATGAGCACATTTTCCATGTCTTACCTTTCAGTTCAATGTCAGTGTCTTTATACATGGATTTCCTTAACAGCAGTGGCCTCGAGGTCTGTGGAATAGTAAATGAAGTTTGTGAGCATTTTTTCCTCATTGATGAAATAATTAGTTTGGTGAACTGATTAATCATTTAGGCAGGTTCAGTGGTTAGTATTGTCCTTGGTTCAAACCCAATCAGGTTGGACCCTTTCTGTGTTTGTGAACAGGAAAAAGAAGGTGAATCAGAGACTGTATCATTGTCCATAGGTGTGAAATGTGTCTGTCTGTGATCTATGACAGACTGGTGACCTCGCCAGTCTGCACCCTTTTCCTCAGCACACCTAATACTGCAACAAGATATAGAGACAAAGGTTATTTGAAACTCCTCACTACTTAAATTATTGATCAAGGCTTTTTAGTACTCCTTGAATTAAGTCTGGGAATTGTGCCTTACGTTACTTACAAATAAGAGGAGGTACTCCGCTGCAGTAAAGTACTTTACAGCAAATCATGGTTCAGGGTGTATTTCCATGTTTATTACAACAAGGGGGTCGTGATAAAGGACGGAAGTTAAGTACATTTTACTCAAGTAGTTAAGTACTTTAATTTAACCTGGACACACAGTTCAGACTGGGATGTGGACTGTGCTGGTCGAGAGATAGTCGTAGGGTTAGGGACAGATAAATATTATGGTTTCTTTCAGCTAATCAGCAATAGTCTTTGGACAGCTGTTAAGCTAAAGCCAGCTAATTAGCCGACGGCTAACCTTAAAGTGCTTTATAAGCCTTTTTCCACAAGGTTAGCTGCTAATTAGTTAACAACATACTGTGCTCCTTCGGTAGACACACAAATCTATTAAGAATAGCAAGTCGCAGCCACGAGTGGTTAACACGGTACCAATAAAACAGGACAGGATCCAGGACCACAGCACCAGGAGTCACCACACTCACAGCTGATAGCGAGCACAACAAGGCTAATGTAGCTAATGTTAGCTAACCGAAGCTGCAGTTATCCAATAGGTTAAGTGTTTCCAGTAAGATACTCACATTTACAACTGTAATTTTCCAAAGCCCTGTTTCTGGCGCTGCAACAACCGCATTTATGGCACTGAGTAAAACTACAAAAAGGACTGCCAATGGATGGAAAACTCCACTGCCCGGACACCTCCACGTCCTCATCTTGACTGCAGCAGCCATGTTCGTTGTGGGCGTTAGCACTCACCAACAGGAGGCGCCGTGAACGCATCAGCTGGAGGAGGAATCTCAGTCTGATGCTACCTATGGATGCTACCTGTAACACCATCGTGGAGTTTGACTGCTTCGTATGAAAAAAGAACAAACAAAGACGTATGCGGGCATTCCTGCTAGATCAGCAGGATGACTATCAGCCGTTGTTTCACCACACCAAGTAAAGCTTACTCAAAATTAAAGGTGTGGCAGACAAGGGTGAAGTAGCTGTTCCTTTATAAGTTAAACTTCAAACCTGTAGTGACCTTGACCAGGACAGTTTTTAAGGTAACGTTACTGGCATATACTTGAATTTGTTGTTATTGACACCACAAAACACAGTGCAGTACATACTGTGACATACCTATACACTGCACTCTGAGAATATACATATTTATTATATTGTTATTATTCTCAATTACGAACCTATGCAATTCTAATGAAACACCTTTACAGTATCTACTACATTTGCACTAACCATGTGCAGTATATTACCAGGAATTATTACTGAATAGATTTAGAGTTAGAGTATGATCCTAGTCTCTAGTTATGGATGTCTTGTTATTATATCTGCCTCATTTGTGAATCTTTGCAAAAATGTATCCCATTTAAATGAAGTCTTGAAGAAATCTTTTTATTATGTATTTTATAAGATTACTTTATAAATGTACATTTCTGTATTTACACACACATCACAAAATTCAATGAAACAAATGTGAATTTTTCCACAAAAACAATTTCACAGTTCGGTGTATCTTAAGCTTATGATGTACATGTTGAATGTTTGGATTCCTAAAACTGACATGATGGCTGGCCATGTAAAGCAAAACTGCTTGTACAACAATACTACAATCCACATCAGAAAATATCAAGGTGCTCCCAGTGCAATGAGGCATAATGTTTAGTACTAAACAACAGAGGTTTTACAGTAACAGTTTTGATCTGCTGGGTACCAATCTTTACAGTAAGAAAGAAGTGTCACTCGAGCTGTGATCCATTGCTGCCACTTCAGTAACCATGTCTCCATTTGCTTGACTTAAAGCATCACTTGACAAAAGAGGAGTGTCCACTGCAGGAGATCTCAGGGAAGGATCAGAGGACATCACCACCACATAACGATCGTCGTCCTCATCCTTCTCATCCTCCAGACTCCCATGAATGTCCGCAGTAACTACTGAATTTTCTGCTGCCTGATGGCTGCAGGAAGGTGAAGAGTTGAACAAAGGATGTTCTGCACAAAGTGTTTCTCCATCAGGGTCATCCTCAGGAAAGCTGGTGTTAATATAGATTATATCATCCTTGCTGAAAGACTCTGGAAGCTTTTCTGTGAGCTTTTCCAACATTTCTCGCAGTTGGGGAAAGAAAGGTCGGTCCAGAGGATCAGCCCTCCAGCAGCTGTACATGATCTCATACCTAGATGCAAGTAAATAAAGGAAATAATTCACATTTGTTTGAGAATACAGCTAACACAACTGGAGACATTCATTTTGGTAGGCAGAAGGCAGTGGTGACCTTCTAGTTGCATACATATCAGGGGGGTTGTTTAATGGAACAGAAGCTCTGATATATAAGTAACAAAGAGTTTCTGTGAAAAGCTTGCATTATATCTTTAAAATTGTTAATATATGAAATTCTAGGCCTATTTTATTCCTCAAAACTACACCTATTCATGCAAAGTTTAGACAAACCAGCTTCCATTTTACAGTCTCCATTTAAAGTCTATCTTGACTCTGATACGGTTACCTCCAAACTTAATCAAACCCAAATTCCACATTTGTGTCAACACTCACAGCTCATCCAAACAGTCTGCTGGCTGCTTCAGTCTGTGTCCTTCAAGAAGGTAGTCATAGATTTCATGGTTCTGGATGCCAGGGTAAGGCGTCGCGCCTCGCGAAGCAATCTCCCACATGGTAATGCCAAATGCCCACTGCATGACAGAAAATATTAACATCAGATGAAATTTCATCATGTGAAGAACTTGCAGTGCACACCACACTGCACTACTATCTAAATATGACTATTGTAGATTAACCCTTAAAATGTGCTGTAAAAGGGATAAAAATTATTTCAAAAGGACTACATTTGTATTTGCAAAATTGTGTGAGTTGTGAATGTATTTCGCCTCTCTTTTCATTTCCAGATTTCATTTTTGGTTTTCATTTTACGTGACAGTATGGGTTTAAACATATCTGTCTTTTTGCCAACAACACAAAAAATGCTTTTTGTTTTTCAACAGGAAACTGGATTGTAACCTACAATGTATCTTTTAGAGACCTAAAATTGCAAAAGCAGGGAAACATTGAAAAAGAAGGGAAAAGTCTCAATTACCACACTGATGATATGACAAAGACAAGAAACCCTTAACCTAACCCTTAAAAGGAAGGCTGAGTAATTACCCAGTTCAGCTGACTGCTCTCTGTAGATTTTGGACAAATGATTTTAAAGGTTTTTAGTACAACAGACAGTAGTAAACGAAAGAGAGAGTGTAGATGAGTGTCAGTTCTTCTTTTAGTGACAGCTCAGTATAAAACAGTGGCTGTAGTTACTGGAAGAGATGCAGTGTACTTTTTCTCTGACACATATTTGTCATGCAAAGAAGACAGGAGGAGATAGTACTTACCACATCACTCTTTACAGTAAAAACTCTGTCTGCCAGACTTTCAATTGCAATCCATTTTACAGGCATTTTGGCTATTCTGCCCTGCCTGTAATAATCCCCACTGTAGATCTTCTTAGATAACCCAAAGTCTGCGACACACACTGTCATGTCATCACGCAGCCTGTAAGAAAAAAAGAAAAGAAAATGTCAGATAAACCTCCTAAAGTAGCAAAATTACCCTTAACGCCTTTAATCTTCAAATGACTGTAAAAATCTTCGTATTTGCCACATACATGCAGTTACGAGCCGCCAGGTCGCGATGCAGAAAATTACGACCACTGAGATACTCCATACCCAAAGCGATGTCAACCATGAACTTCAGAAGTGTCTGAGTAGGCAGGAACTGTGTAAAAAAGCAAACACACAACATAATCACAGTTTTTACTTAATATTGTTTAATCTAATCATAATACATTATCTTTTAATATATGTATTTCAATGTTTGGCTGAAGTCTTACCACTGAATTCTCTCCCAGGCGTGAGCGCAGCAGGAAGCTGTGTAGATCTCCATATGTCATGAATGGCAGGATGACCATGGGTTTGGCAAAATTTCCTGGGCTTACTTCCAAGCACACACCTAAAGGGGACAAGTCAATGCACACCAAATAATATAAGGATGTGCAAATGAAAATGGACAGAGGATCTGAGTGGTTGGATTTTTCAATACTTTAAATAGGTAATGCATTACTCCTACCGAGCAGTCTGATGACATTTGGATGGTTGAAATCTTTCATGCAGGCCGCCTCTTTCAGGAACTCTTCAATCTCCCTCTGAGAGAAGCTATCCACTGTTGAAGAAAAATTCTCTGCCATTTCTACTTGTTTTATAGTTTATACATGATCAAAAGATGTCTTGTATTAATAGAAAACTCACATTTCATTGTCTTCACAGCAACTTTTTCTGACGTCCCATCTGGTTGTCTTAAATGTCCCTCCACCACAGAGCCAAATTCACCTGATGAAATTAAACCAAATCATACATACGTCATACTCTGCACAGCCAGTGTTATTATCTGTATTAACCTAGTAACAACTGTGGATATCAATGTTTACTATGTTCGCACATTTCCCAAAATGAAACTGTTCACTCACCCTCTCCAAGAACCTTCCCTATGGAAAGCAAGCTCCTCAAGACCATCATGTCCTGAAGTTTGGCCTGGAGTTCATCACTGACACCAAGGTTCCCAACTGCAGACAGGTACCACTCAAGTTATTGTGTATTTAAAAATGTGCCTTTAGCAGGACAACATAAATGTCTACTACATACATGTTCATTTCCCACAGTAATATTCAAGAACATACGTGTGACTCCTATGGCTGATCGATTGTAGGATCTCTTGGGTGTGTACTGTACAGTTGGCTGCAGCTTTTCTCCACCTCCAAACACCCGCCTGCAGGGGGAGAAAAAAACCGGGAATGCTGAACAGTGAGCTAATTCTCTTGCTCACCCCATTACAGCTGGTTATCATACACACGCTGAGATTTAACTGAAGAGGTGGGCATACAGTGAGGAAGCCCTCTGAGTTGTCAACCCCCCCCCCCCCCCCAGATACTGTTTTCTTGCCTGTGACACATTCCTATCCATATCCTGAGTGGTAAGACTGAGTCACAGACTTCATAATAATGAATTCCAGAGAATGGACAGCTGGTTGTTGTCCATCTCACCAGCTGCACAGTTATTACTGACCTCAGGTGCAGACAAAGGTGATTAAGAGGAAGCAACGATCTTTTATTAACCGAGTCCGGAAGTGTTCAGTTTGTCAAGTCCTCTATAGTATACTACTGATTACCCAACAACCCCGGGCGCCAATACAAAATGTACTACACCATCAAATATTTTAAATCAAAGTAAAGACAAACCATGCAAAGATATCGGTCACAAATACAGTACAACTTCAAAGATAAGACAATCATACTTGGAGCAAGTTTGGTAATTAAATCAACACTGTGTTTACACAGAAGGGGTTAGATTGTCAGCATACCCAAGCCAAGTCCTGTTGCGTACACAGATAGCCCCCCAGAGGATAAGCAACAGAAGACAGAGGCCAAACACCACGCCCAGCACGGCATGGACAGAGTCTGGAACCCCGGTGTCAGGGCTGGACGACGGGGAAACGACTGATTCTGAGATAGGGAGAAGAAATGAAAGTTTAGAAAACAACATTCAGCAAATGGGATATCCAGAATCCAATATTCAAGATTAGTTGTCTGAGTTATATTACCAAGGCCAATGTTGATGAAGTTCAGTGTATTTGCATGTCCATAGATAAGCTGCTTCAATGTGAATCAATAAGGACATGTAATAAATCCCCAATGTGTCTGTCCAAACTGTCAGTAAACTTCAGAATT